TTAAATTTTTCTTACTGCTTTGACCACTCGATCGAATGCATCTGCTCCATAGTTCTCAATGAACAGCTCTACCGACCTCCTAGCGTCAAGGCTCAACATCTGGAGAACCTTTCTCTGCCCCTCGGGATAAGTCGAGCTTACATGGCTTCCAACTTTCATATACTTCCTCACGAAATTTTCGTATACATATGCTGCTCCATTGAAAATTGGTAGCACCAACCACATACACAACACAAGCTTGGTGTATGGCCAGAATGGAAGCCTATCATGGTATGATATCACTCAAGATGAGAGAAGGAAAATATGTAAGACACCTTTTATATTCATCTGTCTGCTTATACATTACCATTGGAGGATTTTCCCACAGGATAGCTCAAAGAGGGTTAAAAAGGAGTACAAAATCCAATACGTTAACCATTGCTGATCATCTAGTGTTGATGGGCTCTCAATTGCTCTCATTGATGCATATCTGATAATTCATGAGGATGTATTAGTCATTGGCAATGTATTTATTTACTTTTTTTTGTATGTAAATCTACTAAGAGATTCTCAACTTACAGAGGATAAAGAAGCATAACTCCTGGCCTGGTATACATGCAAAACAAACAACATATCAGCTTAGCTTACCCTTTTCTTGGATATATTAGTATCCGATCTGATTTTGATTTTATTTAAATTAGATAAAAATAAATATACGATTATATTGAGTGATTAATTGATGAAGTTGAGTTTAATGTCGGATGTAATCTATTAAAATTCAACTGCAATTGCAATTGAGATATTCAGATCAGATTTTTTGTTTATGTCGGATTCAATATTTGATAGATATGAAAACCAGACCAATTGAAATTTGATTCGAATCCGATATGCTAACATGTGTAAGTGTGAAATGTAGTGACAGAGAAATAATAGTACCCGACAAGTGCATCCAAATTTCTAGTCATTGCTCCGACGACACCCATGTTGAATTGCTCTTATCGTCCTCTGTGGAAATGCTACCAGTTTTCTTCTCTGGTCGATCAATGAAGTGAAATTTTCTCCGAGTTAATTGGAAATATGAGATGTTCCCAGCAGGTTTTATAGCACAAGGGATTTAGGATTGACGCAATCAAGTAAAGAATATCTTTTTGGATGACCCAAAGTCTTCTTTCTCCAACCAACAAGAAAGAGGAAAGACAAAGTGAAAGCAAACAATGGAAAGGAGGAAATGCCAAAGGACTTCAAATCTTCTCCTCAGCACTTATGGATCCTCTACCACATTCACACACGTACCTATATATATATATATGTGTGTGTGTGTGGTGTGATTATTGCTCTTTTTGAAATCTTTAGAAAAATTATTTAATGGATCTAAGAACATTTGATGATTTAGAATTATTGATGAGTTAGTATTCAGTATGAAGGTGACATTAGATCCTCACAAACAATCTTAACGAAAACAGTAAAATGGATTCAAGACTCTTAAATTGTATTGATGATGAAATATTCACTAACACAAAAGCACGTCATCGCGTGCACACACACATGCATTAATATCGGTGTTTCATAATAATGGTTAAATGGATTCAGTATCTTGGAGAATTGATGACTAAATTGTTAGCATTTGGATATGGAGTTGGACCGGCGCCCATAGGCGAGCACAATTCCGATAGATAAGAATGGGTTAGTGTTTTGAACTTAAAGTTGGTCAAGCCTACAGATGGATTTGATTTCTAAAATTTCTCCACCTTATCACCATAAGTGTTATATATCTCTATATATATAGTGGGATTCTATAAAAATTACTAAGATTGACGCTCTCAATTCTCTCGATATATCGTGACTTGTGTGAGACTCTATAACGGTAGAAATCTAGGTTTGGCTCACTTTGCCACAATGGAAAAAACAATATACACTCCCAAGGACAATACAATAACACGCTGATGGTAATACACTTAATTTTTTTCCTTGAACGATCTTTGACTCATTTTCTTCACATCAAATAGTAATTTTTTTGTCTCGCTTGATTAACCCAAATGGCTAGTTTCAAACTTGGTTCATATTCTTAATTATAACTCATAAAGAGTAGTGATCAATATATAGGTTGATCATAAATGGTTTAAGATATGGAACATTACAAACATAACTTCCACTTACTCTTTTGGGAGCCATAACAGGTAGTGATTAGTTTCCATTTGGCAAAAGACTTGTATTTAATGAGCCAACATTGCTATGTTGGTTAAGATATTTTACCAAGTTTTTCTTTCCAAGTGACGAGTAACAATTTTTACTATCAAATAAGTGGGTCTACTAATATTTAATGATAGAGATTGTGTCACATCACTTATGATGAAAAACTTTGTAAACATAACATTATTATTAGGCTCGTTTGATTGTTCTATTAAAAATGGATGGATTAGATAGACTAATTCAGTCTAATCCAATACGGAAGGACAAAATACAAGATTAAATAAGGTATTAGAATAATATGTAATTTTATCTAGTGTTTGACAATACACAACGTAAACGTTGGATAATAATTATTTAATCCAATTGGTCATTTAGTTAAGAAATTATTTAATCGTATTAATGTTGAATTAACAAAAATATCCTCAATCAGTGTTTGTTACATTGATGACAACTTGATTTTATCAGTTATGGGAATATATTAATAAATGTGTAGAATAATACGTTTGAATTAGATTATAATACTACCTTTTTTTGTGGTATTAAAATATCTCCATAATATAGGTCTATCGTATAAAAAATATACGATAAATATATAATTAGTATACATTTTTGAAATTAATACGGTATCAAATTTGCATACCAAATAAAATATTAAACTCGATTAAATAAAAAATAGTATATTCTAATATTTAATCTTTTTATAATATGTCTACCAAACTATCCCTTAATAAACAACTAGCGTCCGCCCCATGCATAATCCGCATCTCTTTTTCTTTTTTTATTTTATCAAAGTTTTTGGGTGATAAAAATAATTCTTTTGAATAATTTTTTAAAAAATAGTGATTAGTTATGGAGGAGTTGAGGGCTACTTAAAAAAACACATGGTAGTGTTTGATTGGAGGGATCCTTAAATTTTGACTTGAAAAATTCTTAATTCTAAGAAATTAGAAAATGAAGAGGGAAGGCTTTTCAACCCCTCTTACCTCTAAATTGTTTGTCATATACCAGCACCATACTATGCACGAAAATTTTATCTTATAGACAAATAATTATAAAAACATGGGGTGATACTAAGTATTTTTAAGTTTAGTTGAGGGGTAATTATGCCACATGATGAAATATAATTGGATTGGATGCATTAACATAAATCAAAATTTTAAGAATTGAGAGAATAGGGAGGGAAAACCTCTCAGGGTCTCTCAATTTCTACTAATTTGTTTATATATATAATAAAACATTTAGCAACTTAAATTTTTATCTCTTACAAATTTTTTCTTTTAAAAAATCACATCATCTATTTCTACTGCATGTTCAATCATTTAATATTTGATTAATTTGTAGTTTAACATAATTTTTATTTCAGATATTATCCATATACAATAGTATATACATGTTAAAAAAATTTAATATAATTGGATCAATTTTTTGGGCGATCAAATTTTATGTTAAATCGTACTTACAGACACAAGTTATAACTAATATATATATCGTGTCTAAAGACACTATATAACCAAAAAACTCAATAATTAAAAGGTTGAACCCCAATTAAAAAATCAAATTACTTTAAATTTGAACAAAATGTTCCTTAAAAATAAAACTCCTAAAATATTTTAACCCATATATCAAATACATAACCATACCCTAAAGACTACCAAATTGGACCCTCTGTCATGCTATAATCCAGCCTAAACACAAACACGCATCTACGATAGACACACACACATACCTATCGAACATCACCACAGTGACCCAATAACCCCACAGTCGATCAAAAAATAACAAACAAAGAAAATCCAACCACAGATACACGTCGGTTTTTTTTTTTTTTTTTGGGTAAGGACCGATCATAATAATTTTCCCAAACAACCTCAATTCCATACATCTTCACATCCATAGATAGCCATTGCATACACTAAAAACTAGAGTTAGGTCCTTTAATTCAGAGCATTAAAAAAAAATAAAAAAAAAGGAGCAAACAGACTTCACATAGAGCAAACTAAGATTCCCATAGCATTAGAGGCACAACAAACCACTTCACCAATCAAAGAGCATATTTTTCNAAGAAAAAAAAAAGGAGCAAACAGACTTCACATAGAGCAAACTAAGATTTCCCATAGCATTAGAGGCACAACAAACCACTTCACCAATCAAAGAGCATATTTTTCCAAATACAAATTTTTTGTAACAATCAATTTCGTGGATAATGCCCCCCTCACATAAAAATGAAATTCAAATTGGTGAAACAATATGCATTTATTTTTAAATTAAACTTAAATCTAGACAGTTTTATTCATGATTCAAAATTACAATGAAAGTGGGGGGACATGAGCCTAACCCCTTTACTAGGAAACAACTTACATAGCAAGCAAAATAAAATACAATAGTATAAAAATAAAGTTCCTAAACAAAAGGGCTAGAATAGTTTAAGATTATGTCAAAGGATACCACCAAAGCTTTGCAACTTCGGCGAAAAGAGTTCCGTGTGCGAGACTAACTCATGCCTTATCACTGTCCTAGGAGATGATGAGAGAAAAAATCCCATCAGGATATCCTACCCAAGAACTTGCCAAAAAATCCGTTAACCACACACCATCTATGCCATGGAATTTTAGGAAGAGAAGATTATTTCGAAAAATCAAAGCAAATTACCCAATACATCCCACTATATAAACCATCTTTACCAATCTATTCTCTTCTCAAACCAAGCAGTCTACTCTACTCCCCCTAAGAACTCTCTGCCAATACTTCTCCAGTTTGCAGAAATGTCCACTTCATCTAATTCTCAACCTCCATTGCCACTGCACTTATGTTTCTTCCTCCTAATACTCTTCATGTTTGTGGGCTTCTCGTGGTACATGAAATGTGAGTCACTGTTCGAAGGACTCTTTGATCAGATCATACTGGTCCTCATGGTGTCACCATTGTTGCTGCTTCTAGCTGTTCACTTGCTTTCGAGCTTTGTAGAGGTCTTTGTTCTTCATATCCTTGCCCCAGCAGGACTCTCTTCACAGGGCTGGTGGGACCCCTTGGGGTGTTGGGGTTGCTTCTTTGTGCTTCTGTTCTTCATGATCTCTTACCAGTCTGACTTCAGAGATCGTTGGTTTCCTCTAGTAAGCAGATGATGGCAATGTTGACGATAACGATGGATCGGTTATGGACGAATCAGTTACTAAACTATGGTACTTTTTGGACTCTATTCCATATTTACCATGTAATTATTGTATGAGCTTGTTGCTAAGGAAGCCATGGTACTGTTTTCAGATTTTTGTGGGTCCTATAAAATCAAGTGTAATTAGACTTCCAACTCCTGTGCCTAATTGTCAATCAAGAATGTGATATGTTCTCGTGTCAACGGCGGTCCTTAGGGAAAGTCTACGGATTCTTCCGTCTAGCCCCTCTGAGGGGTTTCCCTAGTGGGTAAATGTTATTATAGTCACGTTCTTGCAGGCCATCTAACGCCCAGATCTGAAGACTCAATCACCTCTTTCTCTCTCTCTCTCTAGATCTACAAAATACTCTGAAGTTGGTAAATTTGTTGATCAGACTAAGGGCCTTTATATGGGTTTTTTGGAGTTCTCTGTGTCATGGGTTCGTAGAAAAGACAATGAGGTTACTAATAGTTTAGCTAAATTTGTAAATAATTGTATGGATAGTATGTTATGGCGGGGGGGAGTGTCCTATATTCTTGATGTCTCTCCTCCAACATGATGTAAATGTGTTGTCTTAAGAAAATTCAAAATTGTTTCAATCCAAAAAAAAAAAAAATTGTGGCAATTGACAAAGAGCAATGCTATGTAATCTAAATTTGTAATCCAAATTTGTATTTCAAATGAAGGGGATCATTAGATCAGTGGGTCGTATTNTCAAATTTGTATCTCAAATGAAGGGGATCATTAAATCAGTGGATCGTATTTAAAAAATATGATGTGACCCACTCATCCAATGATTTTCTTTCATTTGAGATGCAAATTTGGGTTTCAAATTTGAGTTACACAGTATTTTTCTTTTTCATTAAACTAAATTTTGCTCACTCTTGACAACTCAGTTCCTCAAATATTTTTTTTTTGCTCCTCTGCTAACATACTAAATATTATGTTGATCACCTTGGGGATTTGGTTAGGGGGAGGCAGTTGTTCGTTTCTAGTGAGAGAAACTCTNGTTGCTCCTATGCTAACATACTAAATATTATGTTGATCACCTTGGGGATTCGGTTAGGGGGAGGCAGTTGTTCGTTTCTAGTGAGAGAAACTCTCATTTCTCTCCAAATTTTTTTGGGTTTGTTGCGGTTTGATTTGCTTTTCTTGGTAGGATTTCCTGATTGATTATGAATTTTGATCATTTCGTCAGATACCTCCAAAACCTCCTGATATTGCAAAGACTTTTGCATCACTTATCAAGAATTCATCGAATTCTGTGAATTTCTTGAACTTTGTCGAAAAATGGCGGGAATCTTGAAAATGGTTTTTCTTCTTCTGTGAAGCTAGTTAATCAAGGAAATTATCTGTGTATGCCTCCTGATCCCTCTCAAATCTTGTTTTTTTCTCATATCTCTTCAGTGCCACAAATCCCTACGAGTTTGTTCGTAGCTTCAGGTTTGCAAAATTCTTCGATTTCTCAGAATACTCTGGTTTCTCAGTTTCCTTCAAATTCCCAAACCACTTTGATTTCTCAAGTTCTTTTGGTTTCTAATGCTATGATTGTATCTCAAATGCCTTCGAATTCTCCAACTACTTTGATTTCACGACTTCCTTTGTCTTCTCAAAATTTGTCTTCTCATATCATTGTGGTTCCATAGCAGAATGTGAATGGTGGTCAAATGGAGGTGGCTTCAAAGAATTTGATGTTGTCTATTCTTGTTCCAAAGCCAACAAAAAGGGTGGTATATAACAACGATGAACCTAGTATATACTGGTTTGCGGATGAAACCCTAGAGTTTTCAAAACAGTTTAATCAAACCCTAATTGGAAAGTGTGCCTACGGTAAGTCGTCGTTAGGTGTAATAAGGGAGTTTATTAACTCTCGCTAGCTTCCCAAGGGAGAATTCATGGTGGAAGTGCTTGATCCCAGACATGTACTGATATGATTTTGTCTATACAAGATTATGTGAAGATGTGGCTCAAGGACGCGACTTACATCGATGGGTACCTCTTTCGCTTCTTCAAATGGTTTCCAGAGTTTTTCCTGGGATAGAACCCCCTGTAGTGCCAATCTGGATATCATTACCTAGTTTGCCTATTCACTTATTCAACAGTGACAGTCTCAGGGATATATTGAGTCCCCTATAGGAAGAATTTTGATGATTGATACTCTTACACTTACCTTTTCCAAACCAGGTGTGGCTAGAGTATGTGTTGAAGTTAACTTGTTGNGTCACTTATTTAACAGTGACAGTCTCAGGGATATATTGAGTCCCTTATAGGAAGAATTTTGATGATTGATACTCTTACACTTACCTTTTCCAAACCAGGTGTGGCTAGAGTATGTGTTGAAGTTAACTTGTTGGCTAAAAATTCGAGAAGGTTTTGGTTAGGGCACCGTATTTGCTACGAGAAGGATTATAAATATTGCCCAAATTGCTTGAAACAAGGGCACGATGAAGATTTGTGTAGGAAAAGGAGAACGAAGGAGATGGAGGTCAATAAGCAAAATGAACATGTTCCTGCTGAGGTAGTGAATCACGATGCTGTGAGGAATGTTGATAATATGAGGGAAAAGGTTTTTATTCAGGTGGGAAATAATCAAAAAGGTGAAAAGGTTTTCAAGTAGAAGTATGCTGAAATTGTGGATGTGGAAGTAAATAGGTTTGGTCCCCTGACTAATAGAGGTGATATGGGTTCTACTAATGGGGAGGGTTCAGGAAAGGATGAGTTGTTTGTTGCTCAGGTTACTGAAGATGAACAATTGGTGGGGGTCAGGCCAAAAGAGATATGGGAGCCTCAGAAGAAATTAGTTGTTGTTCAATTAGAGTGATCACATAAGGATGTTGTAGGTGGGGATGGTATGGGTGAAAATATTGAGGAGAATCAATTGAGTCAGGATGATGAGGGGAGGGTGGATCAGTTGATAACTGTGGGTGAGATGCAAATGTTATCTGTTGGTAATTCTGATAGAGCTGGTGGTGGTGAAATTTGTGGTTTAAATAAAAAGGATTCTCTTCTTTCTGGAGGTTTTTTTTATGAAAATCATCATTATGTTACAAGAGTGGGTGTAAATGAAATTACGGATGATGAAACAAGGATAGTAAGGAGGACTGATCTGCCTGATAAAAGATATTGGTCTGATGATGGATGTTTGCTAAGAAGAAGTAGGTTCAGGGGTTATCTGAGGGATGTTGATGATGATCAGGTTTCAGAGTCTGATTATTTGGAGGTAGGCTCTCTGGATTTATCTGATAGGCAGAGGCCAAGAGGTAATTCCTTTAATTTTTAATATGATCAGTTGTTTATCATGGAATATGAGAGGAGTTGGGAAAGCTTCTAAGAAGAGGAGACTTAAAAAGTTTGTGAGTATGCATGATATATGTATGGATTCTATTCAGGAACCTAAGATGGATGGGGGTAAATTGCATGATTTGGAAAGGTATTTGGGAGTGTCCCAATCTATTTTCAATCCCTTAGCTGAACGTAATTTGTGACTGCTTTGGGATAACAGGGTGAATGTTCAGGTTGTAACTCAGTATGAACAGGCTTTAACTGTTATGGTGTCTTATTTGGGTTCTAAAGATGTATTTGTTTCTTGGGTGTATGCCTGATGTGATCATATTTTAAGAAGGCCCCTTTGGCTACATCTATTATCTCTGCCTATTCCTTTGGGGTCAGTATGGATGGTGGGAGGTGACTTGAATGCAATTGCGCATTCAAGTGAAAGGTTAGGGGGAGCATTTCCATCATGGGTTTCAATGGAGGAATTTGGGGAATTTGAACACAATGCTAGACTACAAGATGTGGGCTTTAGTGGAAGTCAATACATCTTGTGTAATAATAAACATGGAAATTGTAGAATGTGGCAAAGGATTGACAAATTTATTTTTAGCCCTAGTTGGTGTTTAAGATTTGGTAAGACTAAAATTTTTCATTTAGGAAGAGGGGTGTCAGACCATTGTCCGTTACTGAATAAAATACAGAAGACTATGCAAGTGAGGATCTCTTATTTTAAATTTCAAGACATGTGGGTTAAAGACCCAGGTTTTCTGGCTCTTGTTTTTGAGAAGTGCGAGGGAGTTATTCTCAAAATCCAATTGAGAGTATTTTCTTGAAATTGAAGTATTTGAAAGCTCACTTAAGGAAATGTAATATTGAGGTTTTTGGTAATATTTTTGAGAGGTTAAAGAGGTTGGAGTTAGTTGTGGTTCAGGCAGAAGTTTCTCTTCAAAAGGATAACTCTGTCAGTAATGAACAGGCTTTGGATGGGGCTCAGAAAGAGCTTGATGAGGCTTTGAGAATTGAAGAAATTTTTTAGAGGCAGAAGACAAACATTAAATGGGGTATGGAGGGGGGGGAAATACTCAGTTTATCATGCTTTGACAAAGGAGAAAGCTATGAGGAACAAAATATACAAAATTTAAAATGGTGCAGGTCTATGTGTCAAGACTGATGAGAAGACTGGTGAGGTAGCTGTGGATTTTTACTCTTCTTTATTTAAATCTGAATAACATTCATTGAAAGAGGAATTATTTTATGATATTCCACTTCTAGTTACAGTTGGAATGAACAGAGATCTTCTTGTTGAGGTTTCAGAGGATGAGGTAAAATCTGTGATTTTTTCAATGTTTGTAAGAAATGCTCTGAGAGTAGATGTTTTTTCTAGAAAATTCTTCCAAGTAGCCTAGGGCATTATTAAAGGTGATGTGATAAGGGTTGTTAATTTCTTTCTTAGAGGAGGTAAAGTTCCTAGATCAGTTAATGCTATGTTGTTAGTGTTGATTCTTAAGAAAGCTAGTCCTATGTCTTTCTCAGACTTTAGGCCAATAAGCTTATGTAATTTTTTGTATAAACTTTTTATAGAGCTTTCATCTGTTAGATTGACATCTGTCTTGCCTATTGTGGTTTCACAAGAGCAGCATGGCTTTGTTAGAGGGAGAAATGTTGGGGAATATGTTGTTTTAACACAGCTTATGGTGGATGATTTGGATAGGAAGGTAAAGGCAGGGAATTTAATTCTTAAATTGGATATGCTGAAAGCTTACGACAGGTTGGAATGAGATTTCTTGTTTAAAGCTTTGTTGGGCTTTGGATTTTCTGAATTGTTTGTTAATATCATTTTCAATTGCTTGGAGAGTCAATTTGTGTCAGTATGTGTTAATAGTAAGAGAGTGGGTTTTTTCCCTTCATCCAGGGGATTGAGACAAGGGGATCCAGTATCCCCTAGTCTTTTTATTTTGGCAGAGGCGGTTCATAGTAGAGGTATGAGAAGCTTGTATTTGGAGGGAAAGATAAAATCTTTTCACCTGGGTAAAGGTACCTCTTTAGTTAGTCACTTATTGTTTGCAAGCGATACTTTGGTGTTTTTGAGGGGTGATAAGAAGTTAATGAAGAATCTATTGAAATTTTTAGGGGATTGTGAGTCTTGTTCTAGATAGAAGATTAATGTGCAGAAAAGTTCTATGTACTGTTCAAGATTGATCTCTGACAGTAGAAAATTGAAGTTATCTGCTCTAGCAGGTGTACCTGTTAGGAGCTATCCTTTTACATACTTGAGATGCCCTATTTTTAAAGGGAGATCTAGAATCAAATATTTTGAGGATATTATAGCTAAATTCAAAGCTAAGTTGGAAGGATGGTATAGAAAAATGTTGTCGAACATTGGTAGAGTTCTAATGGTTCAGTTTGTATTAAATACCATTCCAATTCATCTCTTGGCCGGTCAAAATTTACTCAAGACTGTCATTCATAAGTTGAATGGTATAATGGCTGGTTTTATATGGCCAAACAAAATGGATATTAGGAAAAGGCATTGGGTTTCATGGGACAAAGTTGTTTTACCAAAAGCTGAAGGAGGGTTGGGGGCTGAGGAGGTTTGAGAATTTGTAGGTGGCTATTAGGATGAAACAGGTGTGGAACTTGTTGCAGGGAAGTTATATATGGGCAAGGGTATTTGATACTAAATTTTTAAAGGGGAAGCACTTGTTGAGATGTGTAGGAAGGAGTCACATCAAGAGTTTGGAGTTGTTAAGGCCTTATTTTGAGAAGGTCATTGTGCACTTTACGAGATTGGTGGGGAAAGGAGATCAGACAGATTTTTGGTGTGACTATTGGTTGAGGGATAGTCCTCTATTACTTAGATTAGATAGTATGCCAACTTTTTTCCCAAAAGTTTGTGAGGTGTTGGTAGATTCTAATTGGCAGTTAGGACAGTTTGGGCAATTGATTAGTGACCAGATCAAGGAGGAGGTGTTTAGAGCTAGGATTACTTTGACATATTCTGCTAATAAGCTGGTTTGGCAAAGGTCAAGTTTTGGGCTTTTTTCTGTTAAAACAGAATAGAATTTGGTTAGACACAGAAGTGAGAAGAGTAGTGTTGTGCAGACAATTTGGAGTATGAAGACTTCTCCAAGTGCCCAGCTGGTAGGACGGAAGTTGTTAAAGCAGGCTTTGCCCATGGATTCTAGAATTCGATTGTGTGGGGGTATACATGGTGAGTAGGCTATGAAGCACGGATACGGATACGGGATACGGATACAATACGATACGAGTACAGGAATACGACAAAAAAAAAATAGGATACAGGTACGGCTAGGATACGTCCATAAAATATATATTTTTTAAAATTTTATTATTATATTTAATGTAATAATTA